GGGGAGGAAACAGATGCAGATGATATTGAGTTTGTTGAAGGGGCCAGCAGTGAGGACAATGATACAGACAATGGTACTCACTCCCCCACCCTGCCAGCCACCCCGTCAGAGAGGTCGTTGGTGCCATAGATGTAGGGGACCATGTGCACGCCAGTCAGAACAGTATGCTTGGAGTGACTGCACCAATTTTATGCTTGGACTACCAGTTTTCGACTTAATTTATTTTTTTGTGCTGAAATATGCCCGCATGGGGGGTCCGGCAGGTCTTACGTTGCCCAGGGCATATGGGTTAAATCATGGCTTCACTACATTTGAATGCAACAATACCATACTTGGCAATACCTATTCACTGGAACACTAAATTTAATTGCTAGTTAGATTTAGCATTCATCCACAATGCATCCTCATTGTGCATGGGCTTCAGCCTTGGCTCTGGTATAACATATGGAAACAATAGTCTTCATTAAGAAGATACAGTAGAAGTCCATATATACAAGGAACACACAGCCAAATTCTGCAAATTTATAATAGAACATGTGACCCCAGTACAATTTTACCATGAACACTCACCTACATATCTGGCATTCCTGCTTGGTCCCACTGATTTTAATACAAACATATTTGAATAATCAGAGCTCCTGGAACTTCTCTTCCATGTCACATGATTGGCTAGGTGCTTGTGAGAGTCCTTGCCCCCACTGGCAAACTAATCATGATAGACATGAAATTTTGAGTACAGAGCACCATGATATCCCTTATCCTTATCTTCTGAATTATTTTAATTTCGTAAAGTGTACTTGGTAAACAAGAAGAATCCTTTTGGATACCCACAAAATAACCATCCAGTAAAACTTCAATAATACAGTACAGTAGTTCCCTTCAGATGTATGGACTTCTATTACATTTACAGAAATAAAAATCATTTTAAAGTACAGTAGTCATGGATATACAGCATATAAATTATTTTACCAAAATAGAAATTTGAAGAATTTAAGTATGGAATCACATTTTATTGACAAAGGCTGAGGTGAGTGACCCCAGAAATCCACGTATGCTGAACACCCCTCTCAATCAGGCATATGCCTATCAACTTCTCACAGTGGAGGTACCAAACATAAAAGCCCCACATATATTACATTATCAAAATGACAAAATGGTGAAGCTAAAAGGAGTTTCATACACCCCCCCTCCCCCAAAAAAGGGTCAATGTAAATATTGATCTACAGGTATACAGTATATAAAAAATTTATACACTTGCAGTGAAAAGAAGTGCATCAATATATGAATATTTTTGTATAAGTTTATTGTCTAATTGTCCATAGAATTTTGATATAGATAAAAATTTGTTAGTGCTCAATACTGAGTTTAGCTGGGTTTTAATTATTCTATATACAGTGGTCCCTCGGTTAACGAGCACAATTCGCTCCAGAAGGTTGTTTGTTAACCGAAAAATTCGTTAACCGAAACCAGTTTCAATGGGTTTTTGGGTAATTGGTTCCAGCTCACCGAAAATTTCCTACAGTCAACAAAAAAGGGAGTAAAGTACATTTACTTTGAGGTGTGTATGTAGAAGGCTCCTGGATGATGATGATGGGAATTAGAATGGGGGTGAAGGAGAAGGGAGAAGAGAAGGCATTGGGGTGGAAAAGAAGTCACCCCATGGCGCCATTTCACCCATAAAATTTTAGTTCACGGTGAAATTCAAGATTATTTTCTTTAAATCAACACTGCACTGCATTATAATTGTATTGTCAATATGTAAAATAAATTTCAAAATGACCAATAATTTGACTGGAAACACAGAAAAAAAGCATTTATGTTGAAGAGTGTGAAGCAAGATGTTACCTCCACTGAAAAGACACAGAGACTGACGCCTGCTTGGTGTGTTGACAGGCTGTTTGGCGTGCTAAAAACTAGTTTCCCTGTACTTAAATTATGTTAAATAATTGTTAAAATGGCTAAAAAATTTAATATAAGATTTAAAATTATTGAACAGTACAAACTTCTTGATCTTTACTAAAATAGTAGGAATATAAGCCCTAGAACCGATTACTGTATTAGCGGACTAATACGACAGCTAGTGTGTAAGCAAAAACATGTTGAGGGGCGCTCGTAAGGAATTCGTTAATCGAGGGAATGCTCGTTAACCAAAGTTAAGAATCTTATGGAAGGTAATTTGTTAACCAAAATTTCGTTAACCGAGGCACTTGTTAACTGAGGGATCACTGTAATACATGTCATGGAAAAATAATTATAAAGTTCAGTAAACTTGCTGGAGGAAGCTCATGAAAGCAACATTAACAGTCTACCAGCCCTACTAAAAATGAGAATACTGTACTCATCTTATATGTATTGTGTTTTCCTTTGTTTTGCATGTAAAATAACCATCCTGTAAAATAAATTTTAAGTTTAAAGATCAAAATTTTTTGTACTCTTACTGAAATCATTTAGTTTAAATAATAAAAACCCTAAATTATGGGGAACCATTGCCTTAAGAGGCCATCAAGATATCTGCCTGGTTTGGGATCCTCTGATATACTGTATAACCTTAGATCAAGTGATTTTGGAGGTAAAAACAAACTTGTTACCAATTGCTTCAACACATCAAAAGAGCATCCAGCCAAACTGAACCCTTCTGGTGGACCCAGGATTCAAAGGGGGAAGTGTATGGTTGACTTGAAGTCTGTAAAATTCTGTCTGAAGAGAAATTCCTAACATTATCATCTATAAAAAAGGTTTCTATCTAGGGGAACACTCAGATGTAAAAATCACACTCCTGGATACACCATCACTTTTGTACTTAATGTTCATACAATATGTTTGTCAGTAATGGAATAAAAATGACACAAGGCTGACATAAAAAAATTTTCTTGAAAATTATCCAAATGGGTTAAAATGTGACAATCACTATTACTGATCCAAGCCACTATTGACATACTGCCTAAGTGAAAGACCTCTCTTTTGGTCTCAATGGTATATTCCTCTTCAAGTCCCACAACCTCTCTTAGTTGGGGGCTAATGATGGCCACTGGGTATACAATATTAAGTTCCTTAGTACAGTCCACTATTATCAAGAATTTTTAGGAGATACCATATCCTCAAATCATTATCTTGCACCACAAACCTCCCAAACTATTACTGGCTTGGATTGCAATAATCAACATCTCAGTATTTCAACACAATAATAAAAACTGCTTTTTAAATATTAAACTAACAAACACAACTTATATAATACAAAAAATAAAATCTCATTATACAGTATCAACTGAAACACTCGTGTAGTCTCAACTTGGGGCAAGTCAGTTTGACAATAAAGTAAGGTTGGGATGCAATGACCATACATGTGAATGATTTACTGTCATTGGCAGGACTGGATATTTTATGTGCCTGCAATTATGTCTCATGTTGGGTATTCAAGGGTGCAATAATCATTGAGTCTTACTCCTGACCAAGTATCTTCTCTAGCAGTAGAGTCAACATCCATATCCTTGGATATCTTGAATAATGCTGGATATACTGGGCAAAGAGTTGCATTGGTACCAAATAAGTTTTTCTTTTAAATGATACATCCTGCCATTGAACTACAGCAATTTATGGTCTCTGCCATGAGGTGTTCAACATGTTGGTCACTCACTAAGTACAAAAGCGATAAAGCTATAATGAAACTTAAAAACTTAATATACAGTACAGTACTTAATACTTCAACTCGGTGAGTATCACTCATTAAATTTCTTCACAATATTTATTAATAAGAGTTGTTTCTATTCATCCAACCACTTTCAAAATTATGCATCTTCCATGAACAGGGTCATATATATACTATATTTTTCATAGAATTCATTGATATATACCCTAAACACTCAACTATCGGGTGCGCATCCTGCATATAATGAACCTCTACCCATTCTACCTTACACATTTTACCTAAACATTCACCAGTTACATGTTGTTCTTGTTCACATCATTTCAGCAAGTTTTCATTCATGTAAATTTCTAGAGACTTTTTCTCAAAAAACTTTTCTCACATTTCATTACCATTTTAATTATACAGTATACTGTATCCGAATTCCTATAATATTGCATAGATTAATAATAACTACTGTATACATTACAGTATTTTTTTTTTTATGGGATTAGCCCACTAGGGCACAGGTCAATGACCCACATCAGGGCCTGGGGACAAAAATATAACAATAACAATAATAATAATAATAATAATAATAAATAAAAAAAAATAAAAATATTAAATAAAAATACTGTATTATTATAATAATAATAATAATAATAATAATAATAATAATAATAATAATAATAATAATAATAATAATAATAATAATAATAATAATAATAATGGACCATAAAAAATCAATAGTGAGAAATGATATACAGGTTGACAATCCCTTATCCGAAATCCTTGGGACCAGATGCATTTCGGTTTTTGGAATTTTTCGGTTTTCAGAATGGTTAGGTTTTTTTTTTTTTTTTTACAGGGATCAGCCCACCCGGGCACAGGTCACTGACCCACATTGGGGCCTGGGGGCTAAAATATTATTATAATAATAATAATAATATTAATTCATAGGTCTAGGTCGTGTTTCTCACTTTTTTCATTCTTGTATTTCTTTATTATTACTATTATTATTTTATTATTACAGTATTATTGTTATTATTGTTATTCTTATTTTATTTTTGTGTATTTTTTTAAAGATTTTATTTACTCTGAATAATGTATTATTATTACTGTATTATCATTATTATTATAATTATTATTACTATTACATTTTCGTCCCCCAGGCCCCGATGTGGGTCAGTGACCTGTACCCGGGTGGGCTACCGGGGGTAAAAAAAAAAAAAATTTTGCTCCACAATTTTTTTCCGGTTTTCAGAGCTTTTCGGTTTTTGGAATTTCGGATAAAGGGTTGTCAACCTGTACTGTATGTATGTTGTTGTCAAAGTAAGAGAATGCTATTCACAATCTTCTACAGGTAATACATAAGATAATGACTACAGGTATATTATAAAAGGCACAAATTTCACATTAAAAATTTACATCTCTGCCAATCATATTAGTCCTCTGACATTTTTGTATGTGGTGGATCAAGGAACCTCAAGAAGGGGGAAATAGGTAAGGAAACTCTTGCAGGACAAGTGTAGAGAGCAACAGGAAAGATCAGACTATGCAGCAGTTCCTTAACTAAGTCTGAGTTTTTTGGAACAGGTAATAAATGATAACATTAGTGTACTCAATAACCAGAATGGATCCGTCATAACTCACTGGTCACTTGTTGATGATCCATAGGCTAAACACTAATTTTAGTTAGAATGAAGACAGCATGGAACAAGTTAAGTGTTTCTCATATTTGTGAGTGGACATGTCAAGATATAGAACAATTAGTATTGAATCACAAAACAAAGAAGAGAAAGTACGTAAAATTGGCATTAAGGAATACTGTATATGTAGAGAAAACTAAGTCAAAGAAGTTAAAGATGATGAATAGCATGGTAAATCATTTAGCAACAAAGAGAAGATGTTTGACAGCCAATTGTGACATGAACAGGATGCAGAAATATGAAGATGTGAATGTGGAAAAAGTGTTGGACAGATAAAAAAGGGTTTGGTAAGATGAAATAGGCATATTAAAAGAAAAGGTAGAGAAATTTGTTTAAATCTTGTTGATTATCACAACCTGTAAACAACTCATCAACATAAGAACTTTTCTACATAAATTTACCATGGTCAATATTAATAAATTTGACCTTTAAACAGCTGATCATGAACACAATTAGCTTTAATCACAACCCAGAAATTACACATGTTGTTAATATTACTTCTTATGAATCTACCCTTATTGTCATATTGACTAGTAATTTAATAGTTCCTGTACTATTAAAAAAAATTTAAGAGCTAAAGAAAATACAGGTTACCTTAATAATACACCACAGTCTTCTAGATCATCTCAAAATTATCACAATGACCTTTTACTACAATCTATATGCTAACTTTGAGCATACACTATATTCTACTGGGACTGATTAAATCTATAAAAAATAAACCATTCTTTGTAGTGTTTCTCTAATAACAGTGCACTCTGTTATAATTTTCTTTTCGTTCCATTGTAATACCATTTGATAAGGATGAAAATTCACATTTTTACTCTTGTAATAATATTTAGAAAGCTATTCTTTCATTCAAGTTTTTAACATATCTAAAAAAAGGAGATATGTCTTCTCTTGAACTTAAATCCCGACACTGCAAGAGTATTAGACTTCTAAGGAAATGGGTCAGTTTTATAGTATTCATCAAGATCCACTGGAGCTGCACCACCAAAGAAATCCAAAACATAGATGTTTTTGATGTCCAACTTGCAGAAGAACCAATGATGACCTGCAAAGTAGCAATAAATTGATGCAGTATTTTTCAAGAAAATATATGTATTCTATAGATACATGAAATGGAAAATTGCAGTCAAACAAACAATGTAATCTATGTAACTACTGTAATCTAAGGTATACACAGTCTTGTCAAAAGCAAGAGAGATCCTCATCATGTAGTGTACAAGAAAAAAAAATCAGCTGATCACACTGATAGTTCCATTTATATTAAAACATTAATAAAACAAACTACTGATAGTTCCATTTTTGTTAAAACTTTAATAAAACAAACTACACAAATTGTGTAACAACTCTGTCTATACTAAAAAGTGATATCTCAAATTGTTGGTGTCAGGTTTAACCTGAAACAGAAAACTGAATCTTGAAATTCCATTTTATATCCAATGAGTGAGGCGAGTGACCTTTGGTTATTTTGAACTCGGAAACCCTTTTGATAGCACTCGCCACAGATTGTAACAAGTTCAGAGACGGATGCAAATTATAAAACTTCTCTAAAACATTACCCATCCAGTTCACATTTGGGTCTTATAAGGTACCCTTTGATGTATTGGTCACCCTTAATCAGAGGTGTGTTGAGACTGGTTCAGTCCGGTTTTCCCGAACCAGTTGTTAAATTTTGATTGGATCAATGAAATGTTTATTGATTTTGAACAAATATTCAACGGTCAATAAACATTGATCTTGAAATTTGCAAACGAGCCCTTATTTTCCTTTCTACACTTAGACAATAACCTAACATGGTTTTTTGGTCCACAAGAACCTTAAATTTTAAATACAACCATTGAAACATGACATTATTATTTGCTGTTAGTGTCTATAAGAAAATTCCTCGGTACATTCCAAAACTATTCGCTCATGAGGTCTACTTTGTTCACTGCCAAGTTTGCCAACTCTTCCCCACCCACTGACTGCAAATGACTGGTTCACCAAATATATATCATTGCCATCGAATCAGAATTTGAGATCAATATGGAGATGATTAATCTTGTTTCACTTTAAGCATTATGAAATTATAATCACTAGCATACAATATTTAAAATTATAGCAAATGGTAACTGCTCAGGTAGCCCATAGACTGCACTACTGCCAATTAATCAAATTTGTTGCATTGTAAAGGCCATACCTCAACCATCCATCTGATCTGATTAGTACCCATTTTAACGGCTTTTTTTTTTACATCAACCAATATTGTTTATACTGTACCCTATTTACTGTACTACAATAATACTTATTAGGTTTGGCAAACCTGTCTTGGACAGAGTAGTTTTCTAGACTAAAAGCATCAGTGCGTCACTCGCGTTGAACTCAAGGTCAAAGTGATATCGTTGTTGACGTGAACTTGTAATGAGACAGATAGTATTAATTTCATTGTTTGCCATTTCTTGCATCTAAAACAGTAAATACGTGAATTATTCTTTAAGAAAATACTATACTTTAATAAAAAAATTAATCAAAATGAAGAGACAGGCTTGTTTCCAATTTTTAAATAAAAATAAATTAAACAACAGAAAACAACAGATGTGCAAATTGAAGATAAAGCCACCACCAGTCAAACTTTGTCCACTTCTAGCAGGACAGAAGTCTTGGAAATAACAGAAAAACCAATGACCTGGTTGTTTATGGCTCCAGTATTAGTTCATCGCCATCACCGATAGCTCAAGAACAAAGTACAGTACAGTATTGGCAAAATGTTGGTCCAATAAACCATTTGAATATTTTAAGGAACAGTATTCTTGGTTAGAAAAATATACGTAGTATCACAAGCAATGGTCGTTTCAATATTTATTTTCTTTTAAGAATTTTTTTTTTATTTTTTTAATAATTATGTCATGTCATCAGTGAGCTTAAATAATTTCTGCCCCCTAGCTTAATGACTTGCACCATTGGCACTCGCTGATTTACACCTCTTTCTGAATCAGAAATAGTTGTTAAAGAATTGGCAGTATACCCCAGCCCATAATGGCCAGCAGGTAAATTACATTAAGAATTTAACCCTACAGAATTTCACACCACATATAAATACAGTATGTGGTTGACATGGACTAAACTCTCACTTCCAGCTAATTTAATTTTTAACTCTTGGACAGATGGAGGATGTTTAGGTCATCTACCTCGGCCAGTGGCCATAAAACGATACCATATTTTGGAATTCAATCCTCAATTTATGGGCATACAGTATACTGGAGTTCTATATGATTGACCTGCAATTTGTGAAAACAAATTTATAAGACAGGGAGGTGTTGGAAAGGATAACAGGATGGTTGGTTGCAAACCATTTTGGGAAATTCTTGGCTTCAGGCTTCATAAGAAGGTTAAAAGACTAGCCAGAGCCAAGCAGTCTATGTTTGGTATGTACAGGGACTCATAAGTTAACCTGAGGTGGAAGTCCTAGCCAAATATTGTAGTGTACAGAATACAGTACAGTATTTTTATTTGGAGCATTATTTTGTTTCACCTTTCTTATTTATCTTTAATCCTTACTGTAATATAGTCAGTGTTAACTGTTAAACTTGAAGGGTTTGGGGATAAACATTGGTCTCCCAATGCTGCCCATTTTTCCCAGAGGCATGTTTGTTATTCACCACATTCCCCAAGAATTTAACATGTGTGTTGAGGCAATTCTCATTTAAACATACATATAGAGCAGTGGTTCCCAACCTTTTTTTGGCTGCGACCCTAAATTTCCCAACAATACGGTGTCATGACCCCCAGGCATATAATATATTAAAGTATAGCTTGAATGTTAAGCAAATTTTTTTTTTACTTTATGATAAGTATACTATATTTTTAAAATTGTCTGAGCGTCCCTCGCGACCCTACTGAGGACACCCCACGACCCTGATTTGGGTCGCGACCTGAGGTTGGGAACCGCTGATATAGAGTATAATTATTTCTCATAATACAGTACAGGCAGTAACGAACTGTTTAAGTAATGGGTAAATTCTTTCCATGCGTGTCTTGGGCCAGGATTCAAAACCATGACATAGGGGTGAGAGATACACACATTACCACAGTACAGTACAGTACAGCACATCCAACACCTTCAGGCTAGGTTTACCAGTTTATCGGTGTGGCTTGGAGAACTGTGCTCTAGCACGGAGCGAGAGTGAGTGGCCGTTCCGAGGCCGCTCACGAGTATATATACCGGCTGACTGAACGAAGCTGTCTCGGCTCAAGTCTCGAACCAAGTTCAGCCACGTCAGTCAGCTGACTCAACAACAGTTACATGATCAGAATGGCTAGTTACAACAATTATAGGCATTTGTTAACTACAGGGTATATTACATTATGTATATTATATTATTCTTCAGTCGCTACAGTATGTACTGTACATGTACTTGATAATAAAGAAGGAATGAAACTAACCCTGTTCCTACTAATTCATAAACCTGCTCATCTTTCATATTTATATTTGTCATTACTGACAGTAAATCAAGTTATATAATGTACAGGAGTCTAATCTCTTAAATTAATCTTGTGTCAAGCAGCCAGACTCATCCAGTAATTTCATTCAAACCTAACTGGGAAGAACTAAATGGCACATAGTGTATTCTTAAATTATTAAAAACTATACTACTGTACAGTACTAATGAAGAAATTAATACAGGCATAATTAAATTTGTGTAAGACGTATACTGTATTCCCAATAAATCATGTTTTAGCTAATTTTGTGATATCTCCAAAAAATCGGACATATTTAAAATACTGTACCATAGCTTAGGTTTGGCATTGTACAGCTATAACTTACCAGTAGGCCAAGATTCCATGGCAGGATGCCTTGAAAACAATGCAGTTTGAGCAGCACTTGCCTCTGCAGTTCCATTCTCTAACTGAAAAGATAAAGGACTGTATTGTAGATGATGTACTTGGCAGAAGAGATAATGTGAATGTTATACTTTATAGCTTATGGGTTACTAACAAGTGGCCTGTGAGATACCTCCACAAGAACACCTCCTGTCAGAGCATATCATAACCAACAGACCCCCCCCCTTTAATCATTTTCACCACTTATCAACTTACTAGCCGTTCGGATGGTTGGTCTATCCAGTGTTAGTACAGGAGGAAACTAGAGTTTGGGAAACCTGCGATATTTAGTAGGGTCACACTGGATAACAATCTTCTCACGTGTGTCCAGGCCAAGCAGGACTCAAACCATTGACAATTTGGTGAGAGATACATACATTACCACTGTACCACCAACAACTCCTGGATACATTCAAGTAGCAGGTTATACTTTCCTGTTGAATCACTACAAATTGTTACTGAGCAATTCCTTGCTTAATAAACCAGCTTCAAACTCCTAGCTAAGTACAGGCATACCTTTCAGATTGCTGTTTCATTAGAATTCTCATTGTTTTGGAAGAAACTTTTTCTATGAAAACATAGAAAAGATATAATTTAATATAATGGTTCAAAATTTCTGTTCGAGACCATGCATCACACAATACTTTCATCTTTTGGTCTGATCTGCGTGTTCAATGAATGCCAGTAAAGTACACTGATTACCTGTCAGTCAATCATCACCCGCCAGTCAGCTTTGAACACTTCCCGGTCATGTGTGCTTACTCTACTGCAGTACTAAATCTTTTTTAACCCATATTATCCGATCAAGCTCTGGCAGCAACATTCATGGGCATGATGAATTCATGTTGAGACAAAATTAAAAAAATTAAAAGAAAAGGCAAACGTGCAGTCTAAATTGGACATATACTTTAAGAAGTCCCCCACTGCTGTCTCCTCACACCCCACCATTGCTGCCTCTTCACTCCCTAAAGATAATCCAATACCTTCAACAAGCAAGTATGTTAGCCTGTCTGAAGAAAGCGAAATTGATGACCCATCCAGCCCTGTCTCCTCCTCTGCTTCATCCAATTAATGTAGTCTCATGTTTAATTAAAAAATTATTGAGGCCCCATGTGCATTCACCTGACTACATTAAAGGTAAGTGCACAGTAACACTTTATTCATTTTTCATTACTGATTACTTTTACTGTACCGTATTTCATTTTAGATTTTCTATGTATTATTTTTGCATTTTCGACTTATGACCTGGTCGTCGGTCCTAAACCCCGTCGTAAGTCGAGGACTGACTGCATAATGCCTTGTAAAAGAAAGTTTATAACAGGAATGACATCCAGCTGCTACAAACACTTCAAATTTGCCTGATGGTAACTAGGACACCATGCCACAGGTAATTACAGCTAACCCATGCAGGTGGAGGAATGGTTACAAACTGTTAATATAGATAATGAAGCTGGTATTGTGGCCTAGCAGTCAAGGAAATACATCAGTATGGATGTATAAATGCATGTAAGAAGACACATGGAGGCAGATGAGTGTCAGTGGTTGTAGCTTGGGTTTGGCTACATTAACCATTTCAACTATTCCTAAGAATGAAGACGAAGGCTTTTGCCCAATTCACCATTTGATTATCACCAACCAAGACAACTTATTCAAGGAGCTCTTCATGGAAGAAGATGGAAAACCAGTTGGGTTCCACATAGGTGGAGATTGGATTGTGTTAGTAGTTACAGCCAACAGTGGTAAATTTTTCACATGCATGTTAATAGAATAACTCAATGCATTATGACATATGAGACGAAGGGAAGGATACTTACCACAACAACATTGCCAGTGAGAATGATGCGTGCACATCGGGGGTCTTCTGGATCAAAAGCTTTGCTTTTGCAGTAATCAGATTGAGCCTGTGAAAGTACTAGTGTAGCCCGTGGATCACTCTGTGAATGATGGTATTATTGTCAATATTTATGTACAGTACTATACGTATACAGTTTACAGCACTACTAAAAAGATACAACTTTTATTCTATATCAGACCCTTATTTATATTTCCAGGTTAGAGAATGTAACTGTAAAATTTGTAGTGATACACAGAAAATCATTTATAAATCAATAAATGAAGTATGGAATCCCATTTGATGGTTGCAGGGAAGAGATGCCCACAATGTTAGATTTTCCCACTAGGATACTCCCTGTTAGAGCCTGCCTTGTCCAGGGATTTTTTAAAGACAATTTTCCCTGATCATGCACCAATTAGCCAAACATCCACAAACCCTGAAACATTGCACTCTAACATGTCATCCCTCACAGTACAGCAATGGCTTCACCACCAAACTAACTTTATGTTAGCTATAGTACTATTATTTCTGTATTAATTTAATTGAAATATAGTTACAGTACAGGTATTACCCAAGATATGAAAGGATTCTATTCCTGTTAAACCCTTTTTAAGTTAATTTTTCATAATTTTTTTTTGCATATAATCCCATTATAAAAGCTTAGAAACAATCCTTAAAGAAAGAAGAGAGTGTGTTTTTATTTTTTATTTAGTGTATATAATTATCATAAGGCAATAATAAACATATAAGTGAAATGGGTAAACATACATAATTTTCATCATTTTTTTTTTACTGTTACATGCACACACAATTATTCATACAGAATATGCAAAAAAATTAAAAATAAAATCAAAGAAATGATATTCATAAGGTCAAAAACATAAAGGGTATTAAACATTTCCTACGTGGAAGGAGGAGGAGGGAGCAGAGTCGGGATCTCAGCCGCTTATGTCTCCCTTATCCAGTGAAACTACTGCCAACAGGCAATGCCGTATTCTTTCTTTTATTTTATTTAATGGTATTATTCTTATTTACTCCTCACATTTACTGGTACTACAATACAGGAGGTCCCCGGGTTATGAATGGGTTCCGTTCCTGTGGACATTCATAAGTTGGATTTGTACGTAAGTCAGAACACATGCTATATGCATACTGTACTTACAGAACAATGTTTAAAATCCCAATATATCATAGCCAAAGTCCTTATATACATCTAAAATCAATTAATTTAAGACAAAAGAAGAAACAGAATGACAAAATACAGAAAATGAAAGTAAAAAATAAGTCAAAAGGTAAATAAAATAATGTAAATTTCAAGATTAACTCCGTTCGTATTGGCGGGTGTTCGTAAGTTGGGACCTCCTGTATACACATGACCCTGGTCCTTAATAGCCTCAGATAATGAGGCACCCACCCTAATTACATAGATTTATTATTGGACAATCTGTGCACATAAGGTATCTATTCATATGTTTTAAAACATGCTGCAACAGATTATGATTATTTTGGAACCCTCAGATGTGTCTTTTATGTATAAAGTAAAGGTTCTACACATATGTACTTTTACCACTTTTCATAAAAATAAGTGAAAGCGATTCTTAATTAAACAATGAGAAACATGTTTATATTTTGCATTGAATTGTTAGGATCCCAGTAAAACAGTAACCTTAGCTTCTAATTCCTTTCTTTTTAAGGCCATGGTTGCTGCAAGGGAAAAGGTTAATTTTTGGATAAACTCTGGCTGCCTTAGTTTGAGGCACTTATACAACACTCATTACCGTACAATATGGTGCTAGGTTATAAATTTATTATCATGGCTAAGAAGAGCAGGGAAACTCATTCTCACTGCTGATTGGCTGAAATGCCTACCTTACAAATTTTTATTGTGCAGTTATGCTGGAAGCTCATGGCAGATGCCAAAAGGTAAATGCAGTACAGGTATTACTAAAGAATGCATATATGAGGGAAGGTGATTAATCTGGTTAAAGGATAATTAGGGACCTACTGACACAACAAAAGTTTAATGAGACCAGAAATTTGCAAATCTTTTAATAAATAAAAATACTGTACAATACCTGAACCTGAAAAAAGTACACAATATATTTTTATAAGATGGCAAATTTGATGCCGCTCATTTGAAAATGAACATTACACACTAATCTATAAGCTACTGTACAGGACTAGAGTACTGTACTACATGTACTGTTCTGCTGACTTACCAGTAAATCCTTTCCAGTGAAGTCCATTGCAGTCAAGTACATGTATGGGATGCCACTTGATTGATTTATGGGGCCATCACTGATACTTAGTATGTTGTCAAATGGAAAACCCTCAAAAGCTGGTAAAGTGGAGATTGTTGCAATAGATGCCCAGTCTAAAACATAAGAAAAGAGATTAAACTAACTACATTATTTACCCAAATAGGACATTCCAGTTATACACCAAAAGTTACTTATGTTTTGCTGGCCCTGATATTTTTTCTTCTTGGGGAAGTTTACTTTTTAGTTAAAATTACATTCATTCTTACTACCTGCTACCACAGAATACTGATGTTTTATGAAATGAAATTTATGTCACTTGCTTAACCTTCACAACTGTGCTGCCTTGTTATGTTTGGATATAGTACAGTAATGCTAAGCTCTGGAAATCTTATTTACAAGGTAGGTAAATGTACTTATATAATAGAGATCAGTAGTGCAGGGTTGGTTAACAGGAATATTGAGTGCAAAATAGAGATGAGTCAACTTAAGTTCACAGATGACAGTGTTTTGATGAACCAGTCCAAAAAAGGTCACAAGAGTCAGAGAGGGGGGTGGGGTAAAATATGTACCGTCATCTCTGTTAGTCATGGTTGACTTGTTCTACAAATGGCCAATTGGCCATGAACATCAAACTCTACAAAAATGGTTAATAGCTCTCATAAACCTAACCTTTTACTGAAATTACCTTTGAAAATTCCTAAATATCAGAACCAAAGCTGTCGCTATATGAAAATTACCCTGAAAACACAAAGAACTACAAATTAATTATAATACAGTACAGGTAAACCTCAAGATACATTATCCTGAGATGCTATACAGTATTCCACTTTAACGATGATTATAAATTAAGACCATCTCGCTATACAGTATACAGTACGATCAAAACAACTCGCTTTAACAAAATCCAACAAATAGCCATTGATATCCATTGATTGGGATTTTTTTATTTCTAGTGCAAACTATGGGTTGTATCTAATCAAATTAATTGCGGTCTTGCAAGGATTCCAGCAATGCAAATTATATTGTTCTAAGTCAAGCCAGTGACATTTTATAAGGAAAAATATTTAACCCTATGCATGGCACATCTCAACCTTCGCTTGTAAGCCTACCCACGCGCTGCCACAAGGCCAACCCACTCGCTACAGCCGTGTTTGGTTCTTTGTCGATCGTACACCCGCCATCGCATGGCTCCACGATTATTGGCCAGCATCGTACATTGTACTTATCATCCGTGGCTTTTTCTTATAGAGTGAGAGGACAGCACTAACATTTAGATTGAACTGTGTTATGGTGACTGTGAAGTGATATTTTTCGTGTTTTTGTGACTGCAAGGTGCTTCGACTCTGTTGTTTTAAAAATGTGAGCAGTGTCGGCCACTATCATTGTTTTTGTTATCATCGTTCGCTCTGTTTTTTGTGACAAGTGCTTTTGCTCTGTTTTTGAGACTGAAGTGAGCAGTGTAACTTTGAAACTATCAGAGAAGGCCTTGGCATCCAAGACAACCATGTCTCTGAGGTGAAGCTTGACATAGGTAAACAGCATGACTCTCCAGAGGCTGTGTGGAAGTCAGAATGACGTCTCCACTCCACCTGCAAGAGTCCCCTTAGCCTCAAAGGGGACATATGATGAAGACCAGGCTTATTCTTCAAGATGTGGTATGTGTTGTTGAATTGAGGAGCAAGTACTGTATGGGGAGGAGGAGAACGTACTGTTTGGGGAGGAGGAGCAAGTACTGTTTGGGGAGGAGGAGCAAGTACTGTTTGGGGAGGAGGAGCAAGTACTGTTTGGGGAGGAGGAGCAAGTACTGTATGGGGAGGAGGAGAAAGTACTGTTTGGGGAGGAGGAGCAAGTACTGTATTTGGAGGAGGAGAAAGTACTGTATGGGGAGGAGAAAGTACTGTATGGGGAGGAGGAGAAAGTACTGTTTGGGGAGGAGGAGAAAGTACTGTATGGGGAGGAGGAGCAAGTACTGTATGGGGAGGAGAAAGTACTGTTTGGGGAGGAGGAGCAAGTACTGTATGGGGAGGAGAAAGTACTGTTTGGAGAGGAGGAGCAAGCACTGTATAGGGAGGAGAAAGTACTGTTTGGAGATGAGGAGCAAGTACTGTATGGGGAGGAGAAAGTGCTGTTTGGAGAGGAGGAGCAAGTACTGTATGGGGAGGAGAAGCAAGTATGGGGTAAAGGAAGTACCCCCTGTATATACTGTGCATGTACTGTACTGGATGGTAGGATGCAGCAGTAGTGTGCATGTGTAATCTGACAACATGGCATTAAGTGGTTTATAGAATTAAACAAGATGCATATTTTTTTTTTTTAAACAAGAAAGCTGAAGTCTAACCTGAGGTATGTACAACATATCTTGCTATCTTGGTCACTTGCCAATAAGGTGGTGGAGGGGGCCAAGTTGTCTCCAATCCTCCTGATGCAACATGCACAAGTTGCCGAGATGAAACAAGTTGCCGAGATGAAACAACCTGAGGAAAATCAATTCCCTGATTATCAGGAGTAACAAGTAAAATGAGTTAAAAATGAGTTTAAACATTTTAACATTACCTCAAACATTACTCACAAGTATAGGCCTTTACAGAGACTTACATTAATAAATATAGGATATTTCCATTTCTAAACACTCCTAAAACAAAATATTTTAATTGCTTATATAAATTACTAATTACACACAGTAGACCCTTGATAAAATGCAAGAGTGGGGCCGAGAATTGTTGTTGCACAATATCAATAAGAAAATTATTAAATCGTTTTATGTACAGTACTTAATAAGATAATATAGGGTACAGGAATATACTGGAGCCCCAACACATACTACTGTACAGGGTATATACAAAAATATTTCTTAAGACTTATTTTTTCTCACTTCAACACCAATTCTACCATTTCAAAACACGTTTTAACAAATTATGGTAAAATTTAAGGACAATCACCGAAAGAAAATTATCTATAGAAGAGAAATTATTTCTAAAACAAAGCAAATTGAATGAAGGAATAGAACTGTTGTCCCTAGTTTTCTCCTTGTCAACAAATAAGAGGACTGTGTTAATGTATGCCATCTTCGTTTCACTCATTATCAGGATGCCTCATCATCATACAAATATTTCTTAAGCTTCGTCAACACTTGCTATATAACAAGTATTATTAACAATGTTATGAAACATGTTCGAGAATATTTAGTGAAATTTCATGTTATATAACAAAAAATCAAGGTTTATAACGTGTTAGATGTTATCCGTTTGAAGTTGGAAAGATGCAGGTTGTTAAATAACTTGTTATATAACATATTATAATCGAATCCACACACAGGTTGTTCATAACCAGGGCCCGGATAGTTATGCATTTGCATATTTCATATGCAAATGCATATTTTGCGTGATTTCTATGATAAGTGCATATTACCTAGATAACTGCATATAAATGCATATTTTGGTAAAATATTCATCTGGCAGTATCTCTTTGTTGCCACTGAATGAGCACACGTGGTACTGGGAGGTGAGGTGAGGTGTGGTTAGGTGAAGTGAGGTGAGGTCACGTCGCTTTAATCTGTCGTTTCCACACCTGGTCATGACTCATTGGACTAGTGAGTTAGTCAGTCAGGAGCAGTGCTGCTGTGTGGAGCTACTCTCTTCTGCTGCTCGTGAAAATGCCGAAAGTACAAAGAAACCAAAATGAAGTGCTGAGATCATATGTAAAGGAATTTGATGCATTTACTACTGATGGAAGTGTACTGTTTTGTAAATATTGTGAAGCACCAGTGACAGCGAGCAAGAAATTTCAAGTCCAACAACACCTTAAAACAAGCAAGCACATCCGACTCGAAGCTGTTAAGTCCAATAGTGCACATTAACATTAGTTTATATTAACTATTTTGTTTCCGTATAACCTGCATTCTTGGCTTTATAAGTGACATTTTAGTGCATATAAATGCATATTTCCCCTGTTTTAGTGCATATTTGCATGCATATTTCATGGTTTTTTAGTGCATAACTATCCGGGCCCTGTTCATAACCTTTAAATAAATACATTAGTCTATGGTAGGAATCTCCAGTGGCTAAAAATATTAAAGTTAGAGCGAATCATTCTCTGACTGGAATGGCATCTTAAAAATGTGCCTAATTCCAGTAACCAAGTGTTCAGAGCCACAACTTGACATCTTCACAATGTTTTTGAAACTTCCATAAGATCCATAGTACTGTACAGCATTGTTGTCTTGACTAGTGTACTTAATAACATTGACATAGTGGATGAAATTGTTAGATAACTTTTGTTATATAGTAATAACATTTTATATAACTTACTAGCAACAGTGTAATCTAAAACGTTACCTAGTGTGGACATGCTTTTAGACATTAATAACAACTCTACTCTATTTCAAATTTCTAATACGAAACAACAACAGAAGCAGCAACTTTACAACATTTTTCTTCAGATAATGATGATAACTTTCTTCTTTCTTATAATAATAATATTGATAATAATAACAAGAATGATAATAACTTTAAAAATAATATCCCCCCCAAAACAGACAATTTAATAATAATACAGTAATAGGTGGATAAGATTTGCAATTTTCCAACTGAGTCTAATTTAGGAATTAAAAATAGAGGTACAGTACTGTATGTAAGTACTGTACAGTAGAGTACACGTAACTAAGAAAAATGATAACCTCTTATTTCCATGATTATACAGGTTGTACCTCTCTAGTCCAGCAACCTCGGGACCTGACCGGTGCCGGACCATGGAAATTCACCCCTTTCCTGGATAGATAGTGACTTGTGCTTATGCTTGGAAGCACTAGCACCACTTTCTCTGCATCATGGTCTCTTTGAAGACATATTGAAGGGTTAAATGTCGTATAGTAGCTTCTCAAATTTCGCAAGTTTTTAATTCAACATATTTTATTGGAACACACACAAAAAATGAATAAAAATTTTGACTGCGGAAACTTGAATTTCGACGGGTTTGAACGGCCCGCCAACATGCAGACGACGTGCATAATCGTGTAAACAGCGTCATTTCTCTTATGTACAAAAGATTCATCATTGTTTATTACTGAATGTCTTTTTTATTGAATTAATGTTTATGTGTGCAAAATGAGCAATACAATTCATTAATAATACGTAGAATATTAAAACACATGAGGAAATGACACAGCATTGTTTTCATTGATTACAAAACCAGTGACTGACTGGTTCTACATATAAAACTGAAGAAAATAAGACCTTGGTTGTAGCTGTAGTAAAATTAATATGGTTGTTTTAAGTAATGTTATTTAATGGAACAATAGAAGTAGCTAACGATAATGGTAAAGAAAAAAGAGATCGCGTATGTAAGTGTGCACACGTGAAAACATATCGTCATTACTCTACATAAGAATATGAAAGCAACACTTATTTACTGATCATATATATTGAAGGGTTAAATGTTGTACTCTGTATAGACAAGCAGAGAGAGAGAGAGAGAGAGAGCAGCCAAACTGCCGGATGTAAACAAAACTTAATTTCCCGCGGCTTTGTTTTTGTTTTTTTACGGGGATTAGCCCACCCGGGCTTAGGTCACCGACCCACATTGGGGCCTAAGGGGCAAAAATTTAATACTCCTGTAATAATAATAATAATTCAGATAAGAAAAAAAAAAAAAAAAAAGGCTGCCTATCTACGGTACCTATTGGACAAACTAAAATCGTTCCGGACCATGGGAGTTTCTGGACCACAGAATGCCGGACTAGAGAGGTACAACCTGTATATTTTTACAGTTGACAAAAGTTACCCCACCCCTCCAAAATCAAAATGTATTATTCTGCACGTACTACTGGGTATTGAGTAATAACTAGCTATACATGTTACATAGAAATTAGAATTTTCTTATAATTTTTTTCTATGAATGCAAAGGGGGGCACAAAGAGGCTGCCTTGCACCCCCTTATGAATAGCCCTGATTGCAATACTGCAATCAGAAGGAACAGTCTTCAAGCTGGGAAGGGAAGACAATTCATTTTCAATCCTGTGTTCTGTATTGTGAGGTAAAGATAGAAATTAGATTTTTGGTAAAGCTTATGCTGGTATAATTATGGAAATGAATAAATTATAGAATATCCTTGTTGTTAGCTTGGGGTTCTCCAGGGATCACTCTCTTCATCTGAATTATCTGTGAGTGTTTAATAGTTGACTGTACAGTACAGTCTCAGGAAATTTGGCGACTAGCATATATACAGTTATTTTTAAAATGCTAAATACAAAAACTGTCTTAATGTCTCACCTGGTACAAAGCCAAAGTTAAAGCTGCCACAGAAAGTGCAGTTGTGACTCCCATAATGAAAAAATAGCACCCAGTCTTCCTATAACGAGTCTGTAAAACAAAAAACACTAGATATTATTCCTTTAAACAAAAAGGTTACAGTACAGTAGTACTTAATCATCAGTGACGCTGAACTGAATGATAGAAAAAAATTGTCAATGGTTATTTTTCATTATTTTTGTTACTGTAAATGCCCACCTCATTCTAGGTCACAACAGCAATACAGTATTCAGGTCAACAAAGGATAAATGTGTACAGTAACAAATTCAGAACATTTATGTACAGTATTATGAAACAACAGATAAAAGTACACACACACACATAACACCATCTGTGAGGGAACTACTACACCACTACTAACACCATCTGGGAGGGAGTTACCACACTACCTTTCTCTAAAGACTCCTTTTGTTAAACCACCAATGTATGTAAGTCATTTATGTCCAATGTATATTTTCAGCCTTCGGGCTGCAGAACTTTTTCAATAAACCGTTAATTATTATTATTATTATTATTATTATTATTATTATTATTATTAATATTATTATTATTACACACACACTATACAGGTAATATACAGAATGGAAAGTTCTAGAAAAAGTGCAGAAAAATTATTCTCTCCCCTTCCTATGCCATATATCAAGAAGAGCTCAACAGACTGACTCACTCGGCTCTCTCTGACCATCACCATGACCTCATCTGCAAATCTGGAAAGAAGCTTATGCACCTTCCTCGACACTGGTTCCTGCTTCTACCCGAGATCCCTCATCCACGAATTGCTGTTCAACACTACAAATGCATCCAACCCATACGAGCATGTACTGATCACTATAAGAACAGCTTTGACCAATCAGAGGACAGTACAGGGAGTTCTGCTATAACGCGTGTTTTGATAACGCGAATTTGCTCTAACGCGATTTATGAATTCGGAACAATATTTGTATAACGCGAACGCTTGTTTGCTATAACGCGATTTTTGCTTACTATTTCTCCAATTTTGTGGTATTAACTGTGAATATGGTAAAGAAGAATATCTCCAAAAAGCGCTCTGATGATAGAATTCCCGGTGATTATCGTAAAAGAAAGGATATAACACTTGAAGAGAAGCTCAATGTTATCAACCTCAAAATCACCCTTCTCCCCTATCAAGTTACATTCATATTTTTTCAAGGTAAAGTGTTAAATTTACTGTATGATTTCATTATTAGATATGAATGTAACATTTATTTAGACTGTGCTATCCTTTGTGTTAGGCTAAATACTAAATTTTTTCGATTTCGAGTAATCTGCACCTAACCCTATTTTCTCCATAAGCCCTGTTATTTCTATTACGCGATTTTCTATAACACGATATTTTACAAGAACACAATTATCGCGTTATAGCAGAACTACCTGTATATACATTTTCTCTTGGGAGAATTACACATGCACAAAAATATTCATTGATGTTATGGCTTCCTAGTGACAAAAAACCCAACTATGCAAGCACAAGAATAGATTCACTTAATGCTCCCCCATCAGTTAAATAATATAAGTTTTTGTAGAATTAGTACATTTTGTGGTTAATATTCAGTAGTGGCCAAGCATGGGACTCCATATTGATTTGCATATAGGGAGTTTAGAAAAAATAAAATACTTTGCTGTACAGTACAGTATAGAGTTGTCGTTGGAAATTTATATTTTTCAAGTTTTTCTAACTTCTTGAATTTAGGTTTGGTTCTTTAGGTTCCTTGTTTTTTCTTTGGTCTTGTTGGGTTAGGTTTACATACTTGGGGCCTACAGGGTCTATACTTTTTACTTTTATCCTCTTCACCACTGATCAGCTCATTAACCACTTGGGCAGTTGGTTACGTCTCTGTTACGCACTATTGGCAAGTACTGGGCATGCACTGGCTCCTGAATGTATCTACCCGGTATATCTGCTCCAGTATTGGTCAAGTCTAATCTTGAAAGAGCTCACAATTGGTGAGGAGGTTACTGGTAGGTCAGGTCGGTCTGGTTTCTCTGGTTAAGTTAGGTTAGACATGTATTGTATACAGTAGCTACTGATATTTGAGAGCTGTTAGGTTAAATTCTTGATGATCTTTTTGTTTGGTCAAAATTTATTTCCTCCATCATTTTTGGGGAAGTTTTTGATAAACCAAAAAACTGTTCTTCTACTGAAAAATGTCCTAACTTGGCTCCTTAATCCACGCACCTGTTCATAAAATATATCCCTTTTTAAAGTCTTCTTTAATAGTTAGGATAGGTTATGTTTCATTAGGCTTGCTTTTGTCAGGTTTTTGCATGCTTTTACCAAAAAATTTCCCTCTACTTCAAAGCCCTATCCACGCCATCGCATTATTTGTTTTGATGTTTACTTCCCTCCGATATTTTCATCATGAAGTTTTGATATGATAATCATTTCTTGTGAAAATGCTTTGTTTGGTAGGCATGCACTACTTTGTTTTTCTCGACGGTCATGCCGCATCCCGGATGTAAACAACCAATCATATTGAAATATTTCAAAACACGCCGCCGCGCTCCTTGTCGCGCTTTCCCGTGCCAATTGCATTTTCATCATGACATGTGAAGGGTGTCGCTGGTCTTATATGGATGTAATTTGCGAATTTAGAGAAAAAGATGTATCTTGCCCTCCAGTTTTTCAAAGGCCGCAGCAACCTTCCTTCAAAAAGACTGTCCAGACTGCAAGAATCCCTGTGTTTTACGACCAGATAGGAATTTGTTCCAATGTAACAAGAAAGTAATTATGTAATAAGAAAAACAAGCGGCCACATTCACTGAGACCACGGCACAATCCTTCATCACTTCCACTATAAAACAGTGAAACTGTGGCGTTTTTAAAATCGTTTTCTTTGAAATATCGGCGGTGGTCTGTCATCGATAATTACTTTTTTTTGCTTGACTAATATGGAGGACTTCACAGCCGCTTCCCCCTGTTTCAGTAACAATAAGTTTGCCCACATCAGGTGTTATGTTATGCTAGGTTAGGTTAAGAGGGGTTAGTTTACTTTAAGGTTAGGTTAACTTAACTTGAATTAAAATGTTTTGTTTTTTTAACACATTTGCCATAACTACGACAGTGTCCACTATAAAAGACAGTGAAATTGCTGCATTTTTAAATTCGTTTTCTATGAAAAATCAACTGACTGTGAAGTCATAAATAATTACCTATTGCTCTATCTCCCTATATACAAATTAATAAAGAGTTCCATGTATGGTCACTATCGAGTATTTGCCTTTTTGTAGACGAGGAAAGGTTAGGTTTCTCAAAGGTTTATTGATGCTTTGTTTGTGTGTTTTTAACCCCCACATTTTTCCTCATTGCCAACCATTGTTGTTGTCTTCATAAATATATGGTATTATTACAGTTTCAGCCATGTAAGAAAATGTAAATCTGGGTAGTATTACAGTAAACAGCAACCACAGAATTCCGGAAATTCACTTCACTCAGTTGATAGAAGTTTTTTCTATGATAATTTTCTTATATTACAATTCCGTCGCAAATTGATAATAAGGAAGTTATCAATCTTTAAAAAGAATAAAATCAGAGCACCTGTTGTCCCTAAGCTGTTGCTCAAATTGTGTGTGTTCGTACATTCGCCTACTACCTCCCGCGCATGTGCGGGAGGTAGGTAATTGAGTTGTGCACACACGGAGGAGAAGGGGGGGGGGACAGCCAAACAAATCAAATAAAAAATCCCAACATTTGATTCAGCGAATTAGCATTCAATATTCTGTGTGGGTGGTAGGATGAGGGAGATTTTTAATCAGTTGCAACTTGGAACCATTATGTGCTAGGGGCAATTTCTATTATTGGAAGTGTATTGTATTATTTCATTCTGAAAATATGGAAACTTTAGAGAACAGAGGAACCCATGACGTATTCTGGTCCCTGACTCAGAGTAAGGTAAGAAATACTGTAATGGTTATTCATATTCTCGTGGAGGCTGTCCACATGACTCTAAGGTTATTATATAGCGCTTGGGGTCCGGGGACAAAGCCCCCGTCTAGGGTCACTGGGGATCCGGGAGCAGGGCCCACGTCTAGGGGGTTAGGTAAGGTTTAGTTTGGTTATATTGTATAAGTTAGCAGGCACACACTACCGGGAATTCAGAACACGCAATCGCTAGAACTATTATGAGGAGGGGGGGGTGGGCTAAATTCAAAACAAGTGATTTCCGATAAAAACGAACGTCAGATTTGAACCAATCGCATCAAGAACCATCAGAAAAACACCTTTTTTTTAATCAGATTCTTTGGTTGCTGTAATCTGCAAGTTTACCTAAATCTGCAGTAACCGTGTGGCATCTCTTTGTTTACAGCCGACCCATTCGGTCTGAGTATACTGTACGTAGTCTCACGTCCACAAGAAACGTAAAATTACACCATGATGCTTCAACAAAGTTACTTTCATTGGTACAAAATATCAAAATAAGTACTTTCTCTTTAATATAGCGGGAACGGCTAGGAAGTTAGGTAAGGTTAGGTAGGTTTCTTCGGTTGGTGAAGTCGGGTTGTATGGGGGTGGTGAGAAGTTCAAAACGACTCATTTCTGACAGAAATGAAGGTTAAATTCGAATGAGTCACACCAAATAAAATGGGAAAAAAAATTGTGGTCAAACAGATGTTGACTGAAACTGTAAATTTACGAAATACGCATGGCGTTCTTCCAACCTCAGTAAAGTGTACTAAGAGAAAGACTGAATGTGAATATCGCAAAGACCAACATATGTGGCACTGTGTAAGAATCTCAGAATCCAACGACGAACATGAACCAGGCCAATAAGGTAAGAAATAGGTGATTCCATAATATGGTGAGAGTCAGTTAGGTTAGGTTTGGTTTGGTTTTTGTTTTTCTGGTGTTTTTTGATGTATTTTGCCATGATTTTTTTCGGAAAACGTCCAACGAAAAACCCCCCAGCTAATTTCCGCCCAAAATGAAGGTCATATTCGGTCTAAACACACACAAATACACTAGAAAAATATATTTTTTACTTTCTAACAGAGAACGGTGTGACAATGCAAATTTACCAAATTATTGGACATATTATTTTATATCGCCATGAAATACATAAAAAAATTCGATGGAAAGTGGTGCCCAATAAACTAGCCCTGCATGAGGGGGCAATAGCGCCATTTTCTTGGGACACCTTGTATTGTTTCTCACTATTAATATGATTAAAATTGACCCTACTGCATTTCTCAGCCTTAAGGCAAAGCTTTATTCATGTAATCACGCCTGAAACAAACCAATGTGATCGTTCTATAAACCATCAAACTTATTTAAAGTTACAACTTTTACCCTATTTTTAGCAATGGGAAAGGGTCCGACTAATTACCCAAATGTACCCAAATGTAGCCGCAATGAGGTCAAACGATGGTCCTACAAAAATAAATCGGACTGCCAATCACTTCTCGACTGGTATTTGGTGTCACGAAGTAAAAAAAAATTGGTAAACTTACTTTAATCTGAGTTAATAGATCGAGTGCATGTACTGTACCTAACCTAACCTAACCTAACCTAACCTAACCTAACCTAACCTTACCTTACCTTACCTAACCTAACCTAACCTAACCTAACCCAACACAGATTAAATTAAGTTTACCATTTTTTTTTTACTTCGTGACACCAAATACTAGTCGAGAAGTGATTGGCAGTCCGATTTATTTTTGTAGGACCATCATTTGACTTAATTGCGGCTACATTTGGCTACATCTGGGTAATTAATCGGACCGTTGGGAAACCCGTGGCTAATCTCGATCATTACTAATAAAATAGCTTCTTATTAGAGAACTTTAAAAAAAAAAGTATAACACCATTTTTAAGTTACCAAGATAGAGAAACCATATGTCCAGTATAGTTACACAACATTAGGAAAAGAATGGCAAGTGATGGGGGTTCACAATCATTATATTCACTATCACAGTTTAGGAATTAATTTTGAACTTACCTTCACATGGAAACCGGGTTCAAGAAGACTATGAGAGTCTTCTCCCTTAGGCATTGTTGTATTTTCCAGCCTGTTTTATATTTAAATTAAAGCTCGTACACAGTAGTAGCTCGCCCAGGTCTCAACTCGCAACTCACAATGACTTATGAAGTTATGACTAGACCAAGGCTATAGATATGTCCTATCTGATTTTAAGGATATAAAACAAATAACATTTCAATATGCAAGTATATACAGAATTGGGTTATAGATCGAATTAAAATTATTTGATTAGAATTTGTAGACCCATTTTAAAAATATGACAAAAATATAACACATTACAGTATTCCATTCACATCACTCAAATAATAATGATACTTGCATGGATATATTAATCCTGAATATTGACACGTGGGTGTTGAGATAATGGGGTACATCAGCTGACTGTGTTGTCCTCAAGGGAAGAAAAGAGAACAATAATAATATTCCCGAATGTTAATGAAATTAGCATACTTATTTTATGCTTTAAAAATGTTGAATATATACGAAAACCTTTAATATTTCCATAAAACTATACATTTTTATTAATTATGTTTGTAAAACCAAAGGATAATGTCGAAACATAAATCCCTACATTTTCTTTGACAAATTCACGTTTTCTCTTTTCATTCACAGTGTTCCTCTCTAACCCTGTGCTGCCATCTAGCGGCCGTAAAGGAAGTCTTCACCCGGTGCGTCGTCTGCTGTTCAACGCGGGAAACGTCAGTGTGCTGTTAGCCGCGGTGAGGCGCGGGTAGTGTGAAATCCCATACTGGGGTGTTGGAAATAACATACATGTATTTTATGCTTGAGTTTACTGTGGTCCACGGATGATATTTCATGTACTAGTTGTTGAACTTAATTGGCACTGGATTATCACCCCCAGATCTGAAATATTAGCAACCATGGCAGCTCAAAAGGTAAGAAATATCGAGGGTGAGGAAAAGCCCAGATGAATGGAGGGTGGTGGCACGCCATGGGAGGGTAGAAGGCGTCCCTCTCTTGTTAAGTGACTCAATAGGTCATGTGTTGGTTAAGGTTCTGCTGGCTTCTGGGTATTGTACATGAGTGTGTATTGTTTTACTATTTTTTTAAAATGTAATTTACTTAAATTGGGACTTGATACAGCTGAAATCACCCAACGAGGCAAGGGCCTTGCCATCCTGTAAGTCTTGGGAATAGGCCTTGTGCCATTAGTTTAATGATTTGATATAGCAAGGGTTTAATGTTGTTGTTGTTATTATTTCCTAACCCATAAACTTGTTTTATTTAAGCGGCTCCTTTTATATGGGTTAACTATGTAACGTTTTTGCCGCGCCATACTACAATTACTCATCAGCATATGGCCGCTGTGTGAGTGGATGAGTAACTGGTGCACTATGATGAGCACTTTCCCTGTTTAGCAAGACAAATTTGGACGGAGTGAGAGCTCCATTCTAATCATGATGCCCCTTTTCAGCTCCGGTTGTGTTGACAATGGTCAGGTATCAGAGATATATTAAAACTATCAAATATAAAATATGGTCAGTTGAAAGCCACTTATTAATTAAACTTCGATAACGATTATTTGTAAGCGTTAGAAGCATGCTTAAACAATACTACGCTTCTTGCCTTGTATCGCCACGCACACTGTGCTTAGTTTTGTGAATGTAAATTCAACATAATAAATTTAATTTACTCCTACCTGATACAGACTGAAAGACTAAACGGTGTATGTAAAGACTTGTCAAGCATCAGATATGTTTTAATGGGTGGGGTAGAGTTGCTTATAAAACATAAGTAAGTATTGTAGCTACTACAGGTCACAGCCACGTTGACGGAGTCCGAACACTGGGGCGTAGATCCTTGGGTTAAGACTTCGGCCGATGCTTTGTCTGCCATCTTGGCACATGTCCCCGAAACCCGGTGCGCCATCCCTTAACCCAACCTAACTGATATTCGGTGTTTACAAATTGTATTTAATTATAATAACATAATATTTTATGGTTAAAATTTTCCGCACCTGTCAATTTACTGTTGCGTACTGTTGGGAGGTAATGTACAGTCCATTAAATTGCGTGAAAATATGCGTGTTGTTGGTCTTGCCTGTAACTAGAAAGTTCACACTTGGTGTTGTCTCTACATTTTCTGATAGATTAATTCACGAGTTCGTGGCTTACTCCAAAGTTATTAGTTCTGACATTTCCCTTGCTGATAGCTTCCTTAGTCGAGACTATCACTTCAACTGGAACGATCAGCAACTATTTATAGATATGTATACTGGAATTAAGTAGTTCTCACTAAGGCGCTTATAAACCTCAATTAAATCTCTGTCTCACCTGTACGATAAACTGGCAAATGTAAATGTTCTAGTCTTGCATAAGTGGGGTGTTTGAGTGCCATGTCTTTCGCTGAACCTTCCGGTTGTGTGGTATCTGCATGTGCTGGATATTTCCAGATATTTTGCTACGATGATTATTTTTGGGTGCGTCCACACGAGCGTACATTTTGTCGTCAATGTGTGATCAGCAAGAAGAAACGCCGGTCTAGTGCACGCGGCCCCACCCTTTGGAACCCTGTGCCTCATTTCTTCTTGTTGATCACATGTTGACAAAATGTACTGTACGCTCGTGTGGACGCATCCTCAGGCTAACTGGGGAACCCGACGTTCCTGAGGTTGAATTTGAGGGCCAGCTCATAAACCCTGACAACACTCATCTGTATACTACAGTCATCTACACACTTCATCCACAATACTATCATCTACACAACATCCGATACACTACGAACTACATAACCAGAATGTTTAAGCATGGCGAGATCTCCAGTTCACTGTCTGGATATATAGCAAAATTTCGATGGAAAGTGGTGCCCAATACACTAGCCCTGCACGAGGGGGCAATATCGCCATTTTCTTGGGACACCTTGTATTGTTTCTCATTATTAATATGATTAAAATTGACCCTACTGCATTTCTCAGCCTTAAGGCAAAGCTTTATTCATGTAATCACGCTTGAAGCAAACCAATGGGATTGTTCTATAAACCATCAAACTCATTTAAAGTTGCAACTCTCATAGATAAGTTTGTGTCATCTGTAACTTGTACGGATAAATGGATAACGTATTAACATTTTTTGAAACACGGGCTTGATACGCTCATTACTGCAGCGTTACGGCACGGCGCTATGTTTACAGGTACCGGTATCCTTACACTGATGATTTTATACCATTGACCACCACACTGTTTAGTTTGTACTATTATGAAAAGGACACCGATCTATAATAAGGTATTTCTCCGTAACACGTGTTCGTTCAGTTTAACTTACAGCCTCCCATGAGGCCTGCCACCAAATCCCTTGGCAAAGTCATGGTGTATAGGTTTTACTATCACATTCTAGAGTTATGACCAGATACAGTACCATATATCTAGGACCTTCAGTAACAGTGTCAGGTAGGGTCACTGAGGCCTAAAGCCATGTTAACATTCTTGGAAAAAATAATTTTTTATTCTCATGTGAATTATACATCATGACTCAGTTTTTCACATAACTTCTGTGGTTCAGAGGGTTAGTGGTTTTCTCTCGGGTTTTCTTGTGTCCAGCACTGAATTCCCAGAGCCTATGAAACAGCTATCTCCTACAGATATTAAGTTATGTATTTAGATGGTAAGTTATACGAGAACGATCTTTTAATAACCCTGCCGTATTCTCAGTCGTCACACCACCCGATTAATCAGGAACAGCGTCGGGAGAGGTCATTCAGAGACGCCACAGTCCCGGGGAATCGGGTTTCCAATCGGAATCGTTGGAACATTTCATCGGGAGGGGGTACCCGCCTGATGACAGTCCTAATGAATATAAAACCCCTTTTTAACCTCCAAATTTTGATATAGAAAGTGAGTTTGTTAGTGACAGAAACTTTTATCTCTTTTTACATTTAAAGATTGGCAGTTATTTACAAGTGTAAAATATTCCCGGCTGATCATGAGCTTGCATCCGTGCGTAAAACACCACCCCGCCTCGCCGTGTTTTTGTATCGGCTGATTCTCTGTACGCCATCTGGTGGCTGTCCCAATGTGGCTAACACCCGGTGAAATATAATCTTCAAAACAAACACCTGAGAATACTTATTTCTATATCCTATAGATATCCTCTTATGTTCGTTTGGTGACTAGTCATTTGACTTTTCTTTTTTTTTCTTTTTTTTTTGTATTATAGGGAAATAATATTGGGGTGTTCGACACCTGGGTTGTGGTAACAGTGGGCCATCCAGCCGATTTGGAAATATTGGTAGCCCTGCTCTTTACATCGTGATCCCGAAGCACGTTCTTGAATGACCTCGCCCCACACAAGCTGCCCGATGGTCGGGCACACCATCGGGCATGACGACTGAGAATACGGCCCTAAGACCAAACCTGTAGGCTTATTTTGGTCAGTGCAATTAACAATAGCTGTTTTAGAAATTGACCGCATATCTGGAATTAATATTCCTTTAAAAGCCATTATAATATAAAAACACTATTAAAATATGAAAAAACTGGAAAATTTACTAAAAATAAATATGTTCTTTAGAAAATTACATAGAACGTTCCCCATCTGCTTCAGTAGCAGGACAGAAAGTGTTGCATCAGCATAAATACAGTATTAAATCATTACAGTCGGGTGACTCGCCACTTATACTGTATACTATACGGTAGCATCAAAGTATTATAACATAGACAAAGCAGCTGTTGTTGATGAAATATCAATCATAGTATCAAAATATCAGAGTCATAGATTATGTAGATCTATGATTATATTATGGGACCTATACATTATATACAATGCAAATATTTATCTGTAGATCTACCGTCGGACCTACGGTCGTAGTAGATCTGGCGAGTTTATTAAGAGATTTGTGCCTCATGTTCCTTCTTTTCTGGGTTTGATATCTACCCTGGTACCCTGTGGAATACTATTTTAGCAACGTTAAACCACTTGGACAAGGCATATAAGCAACTTTGCTGGTTTGCCTAATAGGGAAAATCTCTTGCTATATTTCATCAAATGTAAACTGCTGCTTGCTTACCTAATTTTATGTAAGAGAATTTTGTAAGGCAGTTCTGGTGCCAGGGGCTCGTTGATATGGCCTCCGGTTAAGATTCGATAATGAACATGGACGTAACTGTATTC